CTTGTTGGTTGGGTGCTTGCATCACTATTCAGTGTGTTCTGAGTCAAGGGTATCTCTGATTTTACTCTTGTGTGCTTGTTAGCTGCTTATTGGAAATGTGGCCTAAGCCTGTCAGACCATTGACTCAGATACTCAGTGGACCTTTTGTTTACCAAGGGAGTGTTTAACACTTCAGGGAACATTGAGTTCAGGGATATTACCCGGAAATAGGGATTATATAGAAGAAAACCAGTTTGCCGATTGAGACAGCCACAGGATCTGGAGGTAAACTGTCCAGTGTGTACTAAAACCTCCTTTTAGTCCTGAGACTTTTTTATTTTAGGAGTAGATGATCATGGGCAGTTCTGGTCTCAAGATCTACAGATCAGCACTGTCACGTGGCCTTTCTTTTTTTTTAAGATTTATTTTTAATGTATACAATGTTCTGTCTGCATGTACACCTGCACGCCAGAAGAGGGCACCGGATCTCTTGATAAGTGGTTGTGAGCCATTATGTGGTTGCTGGGAATTGAACTCAGGACCTCTGGACGAGCAACCAGTGCTCTTAACAGCTGAGCCATCTTTCCAGCCCCATCATGTGGTCTTTTTGTTTGTGTTTTGAAACAAACACTAGTAGCCCAAGACTAGTGTTAGGCTTAGTTTCTCAAGTGCTAGGGTCATAGGCATGAGCTACCATATCTCGCTTCATGTGTGTTTTGAGCATGCTTTCTCCCTGAAAATGCAATAAAGGCATAGTTGGCTGATTTTATTCTTTTGTTTATAAAATAACAGCTGTGTGCTGAGTACTCTTAGAGACCAGAGAAGTGGTAGAAAAATTCTCTTTTCTTTGAGCTTACACTAGTGGGAGTGAAAGGAGCAGGTAGAATTTCCATGAGGAATATACTTGGGATGGTTAGTTTTAATTGTCAATGTAGCACAACTCAGAATAGCTTGGGAAGAGATCTCAGTTGAGGGGTTGTGTAGATGAGGTTGGTCAGTGGGCATCTCTGTGGGGGATTGTCTTGATTATGTGAATCAGTGTGGGAGGTTCAAACCCAGACTTAGGCAGGACCACTCCTTAGGTTTGGGTCCTGGATTGTGTAGGAGAAATCTGAAGTTGGAAAGATGAATGCGTGCATTACTTCTTTCTTGTTTCGAGTGTGGACGTGGTGTGATTAGCTGCCTCAAGTTTGTGCTGCCGAAATGTCACTCCAACCATGGAGTGAATCTGGGATTTTGTACTAAAATAACTGCTTTCTCCCCAAAGTGTTTTTTTTTTGTCCACATGTTTTATCCAGCCACAGAAATACAAGTTGGAAATATCATCTAACGACTTAAATTTGATTTGAACCAATTTACTCTTTTGTGTTGTGAGGTTGGTTTACCAGCTGTTTATTCAACTGTGAGGGGTGGAAGGGTGTACCTGTTTACCACTGCTTGATTTGTGCTCTAGTCCTATTATGCACAGTCTTTTTCTACTTTGTTTTTGACCTGATAGTATTTCACCAAGTTCAACAGTCAGCATATTTAAATTAAAATGTCTGCATTTTGTTGTGTTTTGGGAAATCTGTTGGTTTTTTTTTTAGAAATCCTTAAATTGTTCTTTGTTATTCCTGTAGTTTCTCATATTTACCAACTATTCTTGATTTTATACTTTTATGATTATGGTGTCTGGCTTCCGTAACACAGGTGGCACCATGGTTTTTGTCTCTCAAGGCTTGTCTTGGAAGTTCTAGCCAGGGTCCTACTTGTCCTTTAATGCTTACTTTTATGTTTGCAACAAAGTTTCCAACAAATCATTTTTTTGGGACCTAAAAAAAACCCATATCCATCCATTCATTTGTTCATTCATTGATTCATTCATTCACTTACTTTCTGTACATTTGTGAATGCAGGCATTCCATGGTGTATGTGTGGAAATCAGAGGCAACTTGTTTGAGTCAATTGTCTCCTTCCAACATGTGGGTCCTGGGGCTAGAACTCAGCTCTTTAGACTTATTCCCTGACCTACCTTGCTGACCCTGTTTTCTGACTTTAAACTAATATAACCTATCGTTTTGTTTTCTTCCCCTTTAGTGCCCATAATATAATCTCCTTTATATCTTTTCCACAAATTCGCAGCTGATCAGATTTTGCATATTCTTACAGCTCTGCAAAAATGCGTTAGACATTTAAAACTTAGTTTAGGGGCGGGAGAGATGGCACTTACTGCTCTTCTAGGGGACGCAGATTTGATTCCAGCACCCACAAATCAGTTCACAGTCATTTGTTATTGCAGTTCCAGGGATCTGATGCCCTTGCTGGCCTTCTTGGGCATCAGGCTCATAAGTGGTACACAGACAAAACAGGAAAAACAACCATGCACATAAAATAATTTTAAAAAAATTAAGGGTTAGTTGAGAAAACAATTTAAAACAAAAACTAGGCATCTTATAGTTTTGTTGCTTATTAATTAATTTTTATTTTTTGAGAGGGTCTCATAATGTAGCCCTGGCTGTCCTGGACCAGATGGGCCTGGAACTCACAGAGATCTGCCTCCCTCTGCTCCTGAGTGCTGGGATTCAAGATGTGGGTTATGACATCCTGGTTGCATCTTTTGTTATGAACTAAAGTAGATTCCTGGGGCTAGAGAAATGGGTCAGTGGCTAACACTTGTTCTCACAGGAGAACAAGTTCAAGTCCCAATACCCTTGTGATTGTTCACAAGTGTTCATAATTCTAGTTCCATGATGCACATGATACAAAGATATACATAGGAGCAAAACATTCATACACATAACGTAAATAAATCTTTAAAAAAATAGATTCCTAAATGTGTCATACTTAAACACTTGTAAAAGGTAAGGAATCTTTTGTATTTTGTTTCTTCCACAGCTGGAACCAAAGAGGAAATTCTGATTAAATGTTTCTTTTGTTGTGAACTAAAAGTAAAATCTTAATTGCAGTTGTGCTTATTTTTTTCTTTTTTTTAATTTTTATTGGTTGGTTTTTGTTTTTTTTTTTTTAAGCAGTTTCATGTAGCTGAAGTTGGCCCTGAACTCCTGATCCTCCTGCTTCCACCTGCCAAGTGCTAAAATTACAGGCAAGCAACACTCAGTGCTGCCATCATGTTTATTTTTGGCATGCTTGCACAGAGGAGTCTGGTATCTTGTCCCACCTCCCAGGACAGTTGGATTTACCTTTTTAAGTCTTCAGACCAATGCTTTAGGCTATCATGTTCCAGACTTGTGAGGTTTTGTTGTGTGTATACATAATATTTGCATATGTGAGCTTGTGCACGTCAGAGAAGAATGTCGACTGTGTGTCAGTATTCACTCTATTCCCTTGAGACAGGGTCTCTTACCAAACCTGGAGTTAGGCTGAAGGTATCAAGGGTAGACAGAGTGCGTCAGATCAGATCCTCAAGAACTGGAGTGTCAGACAACCGTGAGCTGCCATGTAGGTGCTAAAAATTGAACCTTGGTCCTCTGGAAGAGCAGCCAGTGTTCCTAACTGCTGAACCATCTCTCTAGTGCTCTGTGTGCATTCTCGCTGACTTTCAAAGACCAAGCCATGAATTTTCTTTGAGTGGGTCTGAAATGTTATTCTGTATTTCTCTGGTAAAATTTTTGTTTTTGATCTTGGATCATCTGTTCTTCCTGATTCCCCTCTTAATCTAACATTATGCTGTTGAACCTTTGTATATGTACGTTCTGCTTCATAAATACTTGACTAATAGAAGACTAGAAATTTGAAGTTTTGAGACATAGGAATAGACCTACAGTTCCAAAAGGGTTAAAGAAAATCTGCTTAGTTCCTGCTTCTGAAGGAGCACTGATATTATCTAAAGACTACCTAGGAGTCTGGGCATGCTAGCTTAGTTCTATATTCACAACATTGAGAGGCTGAGGCAGAGGGATTGCAGTGAATTTGAGGCCAGCTTGGGCTCAAATACTGAGATCCTCCCTCATAACAAACACACAAAAAGGAACAAACCTTTCTTTATATGACCCGATTTCCTTATGTTCTAAGAAGGAATATTGAGTCGCCAAGCTGGGGTGGAAAGTAAATGGATATAAGTTACTAGAGAAATGCTGGGAGAATGCTTCATTTGGAATCCTGTCATATTTACAATGATTTCTTCTTTCATAGTTGATGGAGAACCTTGTGATCTGTCTTTGAATATAACCTGGTTTCTGAAAAGTGCTGATTGCTACAATGAAATTTACAACTTCAAGGTAAAGAATATCAAATTACAGACTTTTCCTGGGACTTAATGGTCATCTAGTCCCAGCCTCTTGGCTTTACAGAAGAAAGAGTAGTGTACCATTATTGGCACATCAGAGCTGAAACCATATCCCACGCGTCCCAGTCTGCAGACCTGTGTCAGCAGTTCTCAGAATTCTTATCCTTAAAGAAATTGTGGGTTCAAAAAGCCTTTGTGTTTTAATTAAACAAACAAACAAACAAACAAACAAACCAAAAACACAACAACATTTGTGTTTATTGTGTATAAGCCGTGGCATGGTATGAAGTCAGAAGACAACTTGTGAGAGTCAGTTTTCTCCTTCCCCTGTTTTGGGCTCTAGGGATTGAACTCAGGTCGCCAGGTTCGGCAGCAGGCTCCTTTATTGCTGAACAATTTTTCTGGTCCTCCATAGGCTTTTGTTTGTGCGATTTTCTCTTTTAGAAATTAAAACAAGGGCTAAAGAGATGGCACAGTGGTTAAGAGAACCAGCTGCTCTTCCAGAGGACCTGGGTTCAGTTCCCAGGACTCACATACCAGCTTACAACTTTCCATAACTTCATTTCCAGGTTATCTGACACCCTCTTCGCTGGTCTCCACAGGCCCCATAGGCACACACTTGGTACACAGATATACATGCAGCAAAAATACACATACACATAAGATAATAAAATAAATTTTAAAAAGAAATTTAAAAAATATTGAGATACTTATTATTTTAAAGTAGTAATAATAAGCTCATTACATGTTCACATGAGTAAGATTTTTAAAATAAGTACAAATTTTTAGAAAACATGGATGAACCAAGGTGGAACATGTCTACACTTCTAGCACTTGAGAGTTAGAGGTAGGAGGGTCAGGAATTCAAAGCTGTCCTTGGCTATATAGTGAGTTTAAGGCCAGCCTGGACTACATAAGATCTTATTGCAAAGGGGAAAAAAAATGACAGAGGAGCAGCTTTGTTCTGAGGTATGTTAGCTGTCTCTGACTGAAATCTGGCATGACAGAAGACACTGGTTTCTTGTGCTTTGTTCTTTGCTCAGTCCTGGGATAAACGCTTTGGCTGAAATACATGCTGAGAAGTCTGACTTCATAAAGATACATGGTTAGAAAAGTGAATGGTATTTTAATGACCTTTTCATGTAATTGGGATATCATTTGTTCTTAATATCACAACTTACTGTGTGGAGTTTCTTAAAGGTTAATTGGAATTCAGGCGCTGAAAGCATGTTGAACTTTTTACATTTTATAATACAAAGTTCCCTAGTGTTTATTGTACTTTTAAAGATTTATTTTTATTTTATACAAATTACATGTATTTGTTTGTTTTATTTTATATGTCTGTGTATCACATGTGGGCAGTGCTCGTGAAGGCCAGAAAATAGCATCAGGTTTTCTAGAATTAGGGTCACAGCTGTGACCTTGAATGCTGGTGTCGGGAATTGAACCTGGGTCCCATATATATATATTTTTTTCACATATAAATAAGCAAATAAATAAAATCACATCTATAACACATAACACGCACATATGTTCGGACTAATATCATAGGAAGGAATGAAAGAATTTTTCTTAAGAATTTAGAGAAATGATGTCTAGGATTTGGTTTAAAATTTTTACCCTTTTCTTTTAATCATAAATTGAATTGATGGTAGAAAGTCTTTGCGTTGGAAACTTGGTGTAACCCACCAAGTGTTTAGGCCCTGTCTTCATTTTGGAGCCACAGGATAGAAGCGTGGAGGTGGGTTGGAGAAGTGGCTTCGCAGTTTACGCGCTGCTCCCACAGAGGGCCGCCCACCCAGCGCACAGCCGGGCGCCTGAGCCTCCAGCCAGGGGCCTAAGGCTTCTGAGGGCATCGTGTGTGCAGACACACACACACACACACACACACACACACACACACACACATATATAAGTGTTTTCAAGTGTGGAGGTGATGGTTATACATACGCTATATTGGAGCCTTTCTGATGAGTATGGTTGAGGTATGGGAGAAAAATCACAGAACTGATAAATGATACTTTTTTGTGTGATTATGTGAAATGGGCTATGATTAGCAACAACAGTTTTACATCCTAAGTTTATGAGCATAAATGATCTTTTTGTAGATTCTGTTAATTTGGTCAAGTAACTTAAATATATTCCCATTTGATTAAAACCTTTTGTATCTGAAAATTTACTATTTTTTCCAGAATTGTTAGAGAATGACCCTTTTTTGTGAGCCAAAGACTATAATATTGTAATTATTTTAAAGATTTGTGTGTGTGTGCACGGACATGTGTGTGCCACCTGAGTACACGCATACCAGGAGAAGCTGTTGTATCTTCTACAGTTACAGCTGGAGTTACAGGCCACCGTGAGCTACCTCATGTGTGTTCTGGGAACCAAATAGGGTTCTCTGAACAACAACACATTTTTCTGACCCAGAATTCTGTACTTTAGGTTTTAACTTTAGATTCTTGTTTTAAAACTGTGTGTGTCAGAGGATAACCTGTGGGAGTCAGTTGTCTGCCCCCATCATGTAGGGATTGAACTCAGGTCATCATGTTTGGTGGCAAAAGTCTAACTGCTGAGCTGTCTCTATGGCCCTCATTTTACCATTAATATTAGTTTTGTTAGTACGTGTCAAGTCCTTCAGTCAGCAAGGACATGGCACTGACTTTCTCCAGGCATGAAGTTTGCTATTTTACTATTTTATATATATGAATGTTTTGCCTACAAGTATGTATGTACACTGTGTGCATGCCTGGCATGTGGGGAAGTTCAGAGGAGAGTGTTTCACCCTGGAACTGTAGATACAGATGATTGGATGGTTTATGTGGATGCTGGGAATTAAACAAACTTTCTGCAAGAGCAACAGGTGATCTTAACTACTGAGCCATCTCTCCAGTCTCTTGGACTTGATATTTTGTATCTTGAAGGGGGGCATATGCTAATGTTTTAAGACTGCAGAAAACAACACTGAGGAACAGGCTGTAAAGCTCTGTACTTATGTTTTCTGCGGTAAGCTGGACACCATCTGTTCTTTTATGAGACGAAGCAAATATGGGGGAAACTGCATTTTCTAATTATCTTGATCTGAATTTGTATTCTTGTCCTTCACTGAAGCCAGAAAGTTTTTGCAGAGAAGTCCTAATTTTAAATTGTTTAATATTCTTATAAAGTCTTTACAAAGTGTTTTCATATTTGTGTTTTTGTGTGTATGTATGGTATGCATGCCACAGCACATTGTGGAGGAGGTAGAGGGTAGCTTTCAGGAGTTGGCTCCTGTCCACCGTGGGTTCTGGGAATTGAGCTCAGGTTGTTACACTAAGCCATCTTGCCAGCATCTCTTACGATTGTGTGTGTGTGTGTGTGTGTGTGTGTATACACACTCACACATGTCCATGCGCATACGTATGCAGGCCAGAAGACAGGCTTGTGTTGTTCAGATGCCCTTTACCTTGTGTTTTCAAGACAAGATCTCTCATTGGCCTAGATCTCATCAAGCAGGCTAGTCTGGCCTGTGAGCCCAGGGCCCTGCCTGTCTCCACTTGTCATGCCTGGGATTGCAAGGGCTCCCCTCCACATCCAGCTTCTTGCACATAGGTTTTGAGGCCCAACCTCGAGTGTTTGTACTTTCATGACAAGCACATTAGCAACTGAATATGTCCCCAGCTTCTCTTGTTGGTTTTTAAATGGCAAAGTTGTATTTGTACTACAAGTTAACTCTTTGTTGTCCTCTAAATACCTGATTTACAACAGATGAGCTAAAACTTTTATCTTCTTTGTTTTTCTAGACAGATGAAGCAGAGACCTATTTGGACATGCTCAAGGGAAAAAAAGGCTTGTCTGGGAGATACCAAACATCATCAAAATTATTTCAGAATTGTAGTGAACTCTATAAAGCACAGGTAAACTCTGACAGTGGGTGAAAGGAAAGAGAAGGGATGAATAAAAAAAATAATTTCTGAATTCCTATGTCTGTTGTTTATATGCTGGTTCTTTCTTCTAGAAGGCACTTTAATACTGTTAAGGAGGGACAACTGCATCTTCCTTCTGTGTTATGAGCAGATCCTTTTAGAAGCTGCACTGTGGTCTTAACTATTTCTGAATGTTGAGTTGGGTGGCTTTGAGTTCATGTTGTATGGCCATCACCAATGTCTGTTGACAGACTGTTGTCCTGCTAAACAGGACTCTGCCCATTCAACAGTCTTTCATTCCCTCCAGCACCTTGCTCTATTCTATTTTTTGTCCTATGAATTTGACAATTCTAGATACTTCATACAGACACTTGATTTTTGCTCTTTTTGGTATGGACTCTTTTCTAGGATCATCTGTGTTGTAGCATGTACCCAAATTTGATTCCCTTTTAGGGCTAAACTGTATTACATGTATGTAACACATTTTATTTATCTATTTGTCTCTTGATGGTCATTTAACAAAGCAATTTTTACATTTAGTTGATATGTCTTCAGATAATCGGCATCTTTACATTTTATATTATACATCTGAAACCAAAGGGCACTGCTACTTTAGGGTTGAATTTTATACCTTGTTTGTATAAAGAGGGTGTATAATAAATAGGTGAATAATATATACGACAATACATTTATTAATGCTTACATAATCATATAACCACATAAATGCTGTTTTTATTTGAAATTCTACCTTTTCAATGTTTGTGCATTTGCACACGCATGCATGCATCCATATACATCCATGTTGATGTGCTTGTCCATGCACATGTGTGTAAGTGGAGGCCAGAGGTGACATGGCGCTGTCTTCCTCATTTATATATATATATGGAGAGAGAGAGAGAGACAGTGTTACTCATGGTACCTAGTACTTGCTGTTTTGGGTAGGTTAGATAGCAAGTAAACCTCTGGGATAGATCTATTTGTCTCTGCTTCTCTTATCCTGGGCTTACATACTTACACCACCATGCTTGGCTTTGTATGTGGTTACTGAGGCTCTGAACTGGGGTCCTCATGCCTGAACAGCAAGCATTTTTTTTCCACTGAGCCATCACCCAGCTCTGTTGTAGGTATGGTTAATATTTACTATTGATATATCTTCTGGTAAAGCTTGCTGTTAATCCTAAACAAGTGTGTAACCAAATCACCACACAGACTGGGTTTATTTAATTAACCTAGAACACAATGCTGGGCATTAATTACTCCATCCTAAACCTCCAAGCCCTTATAGTTTCCTAACATTTAGATTTCTCACATTATACTTGTTTTTAGTGATATATTAAGTCCAGTCCATCTCTCCACGTTGTTCCAAGATCTCTCTCCTGCCTCTGTTCTCCCAGCTCTCTGCCTTCCACTCTTCTTGTCCTCTGGCTTCTCCCTCTTTTCCTGCTTCCTTTCCCTTGGTCAACATTGTGGCTAGTTGCTTTATTTTGGCATGTTTACACAAAGTTGAGACAGGTGATGCTTAGAATAAGATTCACAATGCAATGTTCGGATTGAAACCAGAGAGTCGGGGAGAGAGATCAGCATTTGAATGAACAAGGGTAAAGTTTATACATTCCAAAAGAACGTTATACCAACACAGGTCTGAAATTGAATTTTTGAGTTTTAGAAATAAGTGCTAACTCTGATTTTTGGATGGAAAATTTTTAGCGTGTAGAAGGTTTTAGAGATACTGAAAAGAGCTATTGTTTTTGCTAACAGTGGCTTCACTTTGTCTTTGTTGCATTTGCTGGGGGATTCTTAGGAAACTGCTGTAAAGTAGCATACAGTTCACCAGAAGGGAGGGTTTCTATTCAGTCACTAGAATGGGTTGAAGGTTATCATTAATAATTGGTAAATGGATGAAGTGATTGATAATTAATTTTGAGGGTCTTGTCATAGCTTAGACTATTGAGTAGGTAGGAAAAGAAAAGTTTTAAAATGGTATAAAATTGACAGCAAACAGAAGAAACTATCATTGAGTAATTTGTTATCTTTTGTTAGTTCTTTAAATTAATTCCTTCAGTTGGAAGGATTGGTTGGATTTGATTAAGGAAATCCATTTGCTGCATCCTGTTACTCTCAGGTCTACTGTAGTCTTCTTTCTGGAGTCATTAGGATATACTTCTGTTGGTAAGGGTTCCTATCTTCCAGGCTAATGTAAGCATTGAATTGCACAATCCGATTACTGAGGAAGGAAATACCTCAGCTACTAATGACTTTAAGTCTCATTTTTTGATTTGAATTAGAAGGAGTCTGTTGCCTCCTCTACCTGACATATGTGTCTTCTGTCTGAGGCTTTCACAATTGTCCTTCTCATGGAAACACCTGACAGTTGGAGTCATGTTATACTCAGTGGGCTTTTCTTCATTTGTTTGTAGTTAATTGGAAATATTTTTCTCTGCTGATGCTGTTTTTTACTATGATGGTACATGTTTTGTTTTAACCACTTCTACGTATTTTGAGCTGTGCTTTTGCTATTTATACATCTTTCATTTAATTTTTTTTTTTTATATAGAGCTTTTCTGGGGATCTTATGCGTCGACTTCCTCTTTTAGGAGAAAAACAGGAGGTAATTGTTTTTCCTTACATATTTCTGAGAGCAGTGTAAAAACTGTGAATTAATTTTTTTAATTTTCTTTTCTTTCTGTTTTAATGTTTAAAGGCTAAGGAGAATGGAACAAATCTTACCTACACTGGAGACAAAATTGTAAGTATTTGGGCATTTGAGGCATTAGGGTATGTGTTTGATGTTTGAATAGTTTTCTTTTGGTGTTGTAACATTTAAGGAAATTAAGACTAGAAACTGCATACCAAAATGGTGGTGCTGTTTTTAGATAATACTATGAGTGGTTTTTATTTTCTTCTGTGTGTTTTCTAGATTATTTTAAAAACAAATATATTTGTTAATAAAATAGTAAAACCTAAGCTGAGTGCTGGTGGCACACGCCTTTAATCCTATCACCTGGGAGGCAAAGGTAGGTGGATCTCTATGAGTTTAAGGCCAGCCTGGTCTACAGTGCAAGTTCCAGGACAACCAGAGCTATACAGAGAAACCCTGTCTTCAAAAAACAAGATTAGTAATAAAACCAGTTTTACCCTGGGAATCCTTTCTCTCTGTCAATAAATATTTGTAAACAAGAAGAAACTAGTTCAAATTTAAACTTTGTCTAAAATTATCTGATCGAATATAGTTGGGAAGAAACTTTAGAAAATTGAAATAAGGACAAAAACTAGTTATGATTTTTATAAATACAGTTGTGTGGAGGCTCGTTTGTAACTTTTCTGGGGTGGGAGAGGCAGCTCTGCAGCTTTAAGAGCACTTGCTCTTTTGGAGGACCCAGGTTCTCTTTGGCGCCCAGCAATATCAGCTGGCTCACTCTAGCTCCCTGACACCGCTTTCTGGTCTCCCCAGGCAGACGTTTACATAGACACATATGCATATGATTCTTTTTTAAAAAAAGAAATATATTACTAATTCCTCAAAAACACTGTCAGTTTAAAATATAGACAGAATATATAGTTAACTGTTTTAGATTATGTTTTCCACAAAGCTTTTAAAGTTTTAAATTTTAAGTTTTTATTTTTTATTTTTTGGGCTTTCTTCGCTTCACAAAATTTGACTGACTGTATAGCCCAAGGCAAGCCTTCTAGGTGCTGGACCTAAGTGCAGGTCGTAAGGCCTGGACCACATTCTAGCCTTGTGTTTCTAGTTTTTTTTAACAATGTTATGAAAACATACTAATCACACATTCACCCTTTGGAAGCATAAAATTTGGTAGGCTTTGGTGTATTTACAAGCTACTGCAGCCACTAGCTGCTAGCTTTGGAATTCTTAACTCTGAAACTCTGTACCTACTGTCAGTCCACCCTGCTCCTTCCCCCAACAGGCTCTGTCCTTGGTCACTAAGCTCTCCATCTCGGGATTTGTCTGAGGCCTTTTATATGATGGAATCATAATACATGACTGTGTGCGGCTTGTTTCCCAGTTTAAGAATTCTGCCTTAACTTTCTTCCTGCCTGCTTAGAACCCTGAGTGATGAGGCCTTCTCAGTTCTCTCCTGAGCTCTGTGTAGCCCTCTACACCTGTGTGGCTTTCTAGATTTCCAGGGATAGTTTAGCGTTCAGAGTCCACATATGTTCCCAGTCTACATTTTTTTTCTTTTAACATTTTTTTCAGCTACTTAATAAGTGCAGCTGCTAATGTCACAGCAGGCAGCTGTGGTCGTAAATAGTTGCTATTGAATGGTTTTGACAGGTGTCATAACATTGATTCTGAGTCAGGTCAGAGAAACCCTTAGAATAGAGGCTTTTAGCAGCTTGCCAATCAGCTCAAGTGAGTGTAGTTTTTAGGGACTTAGTCTGTTTTGCTTTTTCTTGTGGCTGCCATATAGTTGATCATAACTTGAAAAATAATTATTGGGCAGGGCATGCTGACATACACCTTTAATCATAGCAGGTGGATTGCTGTGAGTTCTAGGCCACCCTGGTTTACATAGTGTTAGCTGTTTGTGTTGTGTATCTTGTTGATTTTGACAACTGTACAGTGACATTTCCACCCTGATGCTGTTATACAGGGTGGCTTCAGGGCTCTAACAATCCTCTGTTCTGCCTTTTATCTTTCCATCCTTCCTAATCCCTGACAATCGATGATCTTTTTACTATCTATTTAGTAAATATCTACATTTTCTGAAATATCACCTGATTGTAGTCAGATAAGTATATGGCATTTTTCAGATTGTCTTCTTTTTAAGATCCTTTGTATTTGAATATTCCTGTGGTTAGAAAGCTTATTTCTCTTCAGAGCTGAGTAGTATTTCATTGTCTGGTTATATCACTGTTTGGCATCCATTCACCTATTGAAGGACATTTTGATTGTTGTTAAGTTTTAGCCATAAACTTTTGTGTGAGGTTTTTGTGTGGATATAGATTTTTAGTTCATTTGAGTGAATGCAAAGGAGCATAATTGATGCTCCTTTGGTAACAGCACGTTTAGTTTTCCATATACTGTATCTTTCTCAGAGTATCTGTGTCTAGATTACTACATGCCCCTGTCACGATCTGTTAGCCGGGGGAGGTGCATGCAGGTCATGTTGCACAAGTGGAGGTCAGAGACAATTTCGTGGAGTTAGGTCTTTCCTTCTGTCTTTATACTGGTTCTGGGAATCAGAATTAGGTCACCAGGCTTCTGCAGCAAGCATCTTAAGTGGTTGAGCCATCTCTGAAGAAAGAAGCTAAATTGCATTGGTAGAGTGCTATGGTGTTTGAAATCACTCATCATCCCTTGCTTCACAGATCATAATGGCAGCTTCCAGTTCTGGATAAGTTTGTTGGTGCCAGGGATATAAATATAGAACTTACTCAAGGATTGTGGCTCTATTTTTGTCAGGACTGACAGCTCCCTGAAGAATCTGGTTAAGGACTTGTCTGTGTTCTGCCTAACTCAGCATTCCCAAGGCATTTTGGTTGTGTTTGCTAAGAGTATTTAGAGACAAAAATTCTAGGCTGTAGCATCATAGGGAAAGTGGGCAAGAAATAGATAAGACCACAAAACCTGGAAAGAACAAGGGCAGAAGGAGATATTTGGGAGGAAATGAGCTTTGAAAACTCTTGTGTGTGCCAGGACAGGACACATGCTTGACACGTGCCAGCTGGTCTTCTGACTACACACACAGAGTGAGGGCTTGCTTCAGTGTGCAAGGACTAGGCTGGATCTTTTCAGCTTGTGATGTTTAGGAAATCTTGTTAAAATAGTAGGCAGCCACTCAGCTATAAGAACACAATTTGGCTGGGGCTTAGCACAGTAGTAGAATATTTGCTTGGCATGTATGAGGTCCTAGATTCAGTTTCCAGAACAGAAAACAATGAAAGGAAGAAAGGAGTCAGGCAAATAAACAAGCACAGATGCTGGTAGCCACATAGGACAACGTATATGGAATTTACAAAAATTGTTTAGAAAAGCTACTAAACAAAACAACTTCAGAAATCCCCCCCCCCTCCCCGCACCAAGCTGCTGCACCAAGTCAGTGAGGGGGCAGGATCTTCTTTCATCCAGAATGTTCTGTTTTCAGTAAACAGTTAGGAACTATGCAAAGAAAGAAAGTGGCAAATTTAAATGGAATTTCTAAAAAGCCTTTGAAGACATTCACACTGTAGATGTAAGAAAGACTTTGAATAAACTTTTTAAAATGTGCTCAAAAGAATGAAAGGAAAGTTTGGACAGGATGCCAAGGAAAACCAGGAAGAAACAGATAAAAGTTATAAAAAGGAATAAATAGAAATTGCAAAACTGAGATACATATGGTGACTTGTGCTTGTAATTGTCGTAAGCCAATACTTGAGAGGCTGAAACAGGAGGGGTCCAGTAAGTTTGAGACCAGCCTGGGATACATGGTGGCACCCTGTCACAAAACAGCAACAAAATTGGAAACCATGAAGCTGCAAAGAGCATTGGCTAAGATGAAAAACTGATTAGGGCTGTCACCGTGAGCAGGTAGAAGAATGCATCCAAAGACGGGTCCGCTGAAGTTACCTATTCAGAGGACTAGAGAAAGAAAAGAATGAGAACAAGGGAACAAAGCCGTGAAGACCAATGCATCTAGCATGTGGACCAGTGTGCATATAATGGTAGTCTGAGGAGAAAAGACGGATAGAAGAATAAACAATTTGATGAAAGCATGACTTTCTAGACTTGGGATACTCACAAGTTTCAGTCTCCAAGTAGAAGTAAAGAACCAGGTTTTAGTGCCTGTAAGTTATAATATTACTCATTCACAAAAATGAAGTACTAATATATGCCACAACAGAGATGACTTTGAAAACTGTGAGACCAGCCAGATGTTAAAGGACAAACATTGCTCAGTTCATCCATTGATATGAAATGTCCACAGTAGACAAATCTCTGGAAGCAAGAAGTAGGTTAGTTGTGTCACGTGGTGGTGGGAAGGAGAGATGGAGTGTTATGGCCTAATGAGCAAGGCTCTACTCTTGGGAGGCTAGCAACATTGTGGAGCTGGGTGCTAGGACATTTGTCTAGTCCCAGCTACTTAGAAACCTGAAGTAATAGAATTACTTAAACTCAGGTGTTAAAGGTCAGCTTGAGAGACTTTGTCTCAAAAAAATAGTTTTGGTGTCACATTGCATTGAATTATGTTATGCTTGGTAACATTGTTAAAATTATGACATGTGAAATGTACCTCAATTAAATAACGTTAGACAGTACCTCTTATCTGATACGTTTGTCAAGACTAAACATGTAGCAAATGTTAGTGCCTAACAGAGTGCCTGGCATATAAATGCTGCTTTTGCAAGCTTAAAATCTAGATCTGAGAGCTAAAGATACTATACTTGTCAAATCCGTGACTTTGAAAATTAGTAGGTACATTTTGAAATTTATAAGAGTTTTAAGATGTAAGAAATTAATAGCAGAGTGTTTTATTACACTAATTGGTTAATGACTAAGTTGAGTAAAGGTTCAGTAATTGTAAGTAATAGGACATAGGATGCCTGTGACTTTGAAGTTACACATTTCCCAGCAGCCTCTTTGAAGAGAGAGACCAGCTGAGATCAAAGTATGGTTTCAACATGACATATAGTTGTTACTGAAGTAACTAGGGAATGTAGACATAAAGTATATGTTTACTTGGACTTGACGTTTGTGTAATGGAATCTGTTGCATTCCATGTTTCTCCTTAGGTTGCAGGACATTTTGGTTATTAGAGAAGACCTGTTATTCCACAGGAGTAAAGTGTATAAATCTGTTGGATTTTGTTAGTGCTTACCTGTAGATCTCTGGGCAAGCCTTCTCCCTTTAAGACCACAGTAATTAGCTGCAAGTCTGAGTGGTGGTGCTTTCTTTTACAGATGAAGAGACCAAGGCTTTCCTCCATGGCAAGTGCCAGTGCTTACTTACCAAGCCAGCATCTCCTGATGTGGATGGTGGAAATTAAAGCCAGAGGGAGTTGGAGGGGTCTCAGCAAGACTGAGTCTAAGACAGGTTTATTGCAAGCGATCAGACTTTTTATACTCCTTTTTTTTTTTTTTTTGTAAATACGTGAGGTTTTTTAATTGTATACGTGTTCGAACACGGGACACAAACTTCTTGTGGAAACAGGAGAGTAATGTGGCCCCGTGCTTTTTATACTTTTATCAGAAACAGAATATAATGGTGGTTGCCAGTACAGTTGCGGTTGCTAGGATACAATGATATTTGCAAGTTATACAGGATATACAGGATTAATGTCTAAGACTCAAACCTGTATATTTTTCGCTGACTTGTAGGGAATGGAAAGATACACAGTTGGTGTGAATGCTTCACTTCCTGAAAGTGTGCTTCTTCGGTTTTTCAGGAACTGAAAGGCACACAGTGCCCCAGGAGTGATAGGCTAACTTGAAAAACCTGTGATGCATACCTCTGAAGGCTGCTAGACCAGGCCCACTCCATGATTTCTTGCTCTTCTGCATCTCCTTTATCTTTACATTTTAATCTTGTTTGTAAAGACTACTGAGTGAGGAAATCAAGGATCACTGTCTCTTTGAGTCAAGGGCTATTAACTTCCCTGATCTTAAAAAGGCAGTGATTTAAAGAGGCAAATATCACTGCCTCTCTACACACCTAGAGTAGGTTAAGGTGAGAGCTTTTATTTAAATGTGAGACCACGTCAGTGAAAATTCTGGTGGTAGTTTGGGGAAGGGAATGTGATTCAGGAGAGAGACAGAGACTGCATATTTTCTGTATTGACATCAAGAATGTTTTTATATGATGTGGTCTTTATTTTAAATTTTATAAGGGAGCAGTGGCTGTCTCTTTCATGAACTTGGTTGCCTCCCCTTTGATCACTTCCCCCAGGCAATGTGGCTTTGCCAACCCACAGAGGAAGAGAAGCCAGGCAGTCCTGATGAGACTTGATAAGCTAGGATCAGATGTCAAGGGAGGAAGACTCCCCTTTTCAGTGGACTAGGAGAAGCGGATAGGGGGGTAGTGGGAAGAAGGGTGGGACTGGGAGGTGAGGCAGGGGGCTACAATTGGGATATAAAATGAATAGATTGTAAAAAATTAAAAAAAAATAAAAAGAAAAAATTAATTTTATGAAAGATATATAAAATATTCTAGCATGAGTTAGGAGTTAGATTAAATTCGGTGATTTTTAATATGCAGTTTTTTTTTAAAAAATAAATACGTTCATTTTAGACCTTCATTTTAGACCTTCATATGGCAAGGATACAGGGACTGTATTTTATCAATTCATAATTTTGCCTACTTTGCCATATGCCGTATAAGGTTGTTTTGCTTGTGTCCCATTTCAGTGAGTGAAAGCGGAAATACTCTGCCACATTTCTGGGCCGTATTCTAGAGCAGGATTTTTATACTATATTATCGACTTGTGTTCTGAATTCTTGAGACTTGAAGTTTTGATGCCCCTTTTCTCCCTAGGCAATGCATGAACCATTGCAGACTTGGCAAGATGCACCATACATTTTTATCGTGCATGTTGGCCTTTCGTCCTCAAAGGAATCACCACAAGAAAATGCACTAAGTAACCTTTTTACCAGTAAGTTCAGTTCTTATCTTTTAGAAATTATCTGTTGCTTTCTGTGTGTTTCATGCATGATCAATATGAGATGGGAAAATTAGAAATATTTTTGTACATCCAGGCACAGCCCCACACACTTTCTATAGATCACAGATACCTGGCTTTATTTTACTTCCTTTGGCTTTCTTACTGTGAATTTTTTTTTTTTTTTCCCTTATAAAGGAAAACACTTAATTGGGCCTGGCTTATGGTTTCATAGGTTTAGTCCATTATCATCATGGTGGAAAGCATGTTGGTGTGCAGGCAGACATGGTGCTGGAGAAAGAGCCTGCTGTGAATGTTTTTAATTAGTGGTCTTTAGTATTTTGAAGTAGAATTTTCAAAACTTGAGTCTCCATGTTAAAGCTTAGAAGTTTCAAATTAATTATCATTGATAATTTCTCGACGTCAACTTTTTATTTTTCTTAAAGATTTATAAAGATTTTTTAAAGATTTGACTTTTAAAAAAATATGTGTTTATGTTTGATTATGTCCATGCATGCTCAGGTTCCTGTATTGGAGTTACAAGTGGTTTTAAGCCTTCCAATATGGGTGCTAGGATCCTCTGGAAGAGGAGGTTATATTCTTTCCTGTTGAGCCATCTTTCCAGTTCCTCAAGAATTTTCTTATCTTTTTTCTGTACCTACAGAATTTTTCAGTAACTGGTTGTAGTTTCTCTGTGGTTTCCATTTTTTATTTTAATTTGTACTGTGCAGTTTTCTTCCCTATCCTTGCTTTCTCAGTAGAGCATTGAGTAGAAACAATGATGACAGCCATCCTTGTCTTACCTCTGAATTTATTGGCAGTATTGGTACATTTCACCATTAAATATAATGTTTACTATTTCTGCCCCCACCCCATACTCTTACTTGGATAAGAATGTCCTTGTAGTGTTATAAAGAAAGAAAAATCTCAAACATTAGATTTTACCAAAGGAGATTCAAGAGCCAGATGCTGGGGTGAAAACTTTGTAGCTCAGAGAGGCAGAGAAAACACCTAGCTGATCTTCCTACTCAGCTCATGTCCTGAAGGAAAAAGCCAAAAGCTAAAAGCCAAAAAGCTTGCTAGCTCAGCTGATGGCCTAGGAGGAAAAGGCCTGGTAGCTCCCTGACAGCCCAGGAGGAAGAAGCCAAAAGCTCTTTATTCTTCTCCACACTGTCTTAAATACTCTGCAACTCAAAGGTCCTCCTTTATGTTAAATCCCTGTCAGCTGGTTACTTGCGTGCCTCTTGACCTCAGGTTGACTTTATTAAATCCTGTGTACAGAAAGCTCTTGGATTAAAGGTGTGTTTTAGGGCTGAACCACACCAAACAAGAACCCAGGTCTTTACAGTTCACAATGTCATCGCTCACAATGGGATAAAACACCCTGCAACATCCTTGTTTCCAAACTTACCATCTCTTCTTTTTAATAGTAAGAAAGTTCAGTCTACTCAATGGCTTAATTGTATATGGGTTAAAATTATCATGTAGACCAGGTGTGGTAACATTCACTTATATAACATAGCACTCTAGAGCCTGAGGCAAGAGGATTTTAAGTTCAAGACCTAAGCAGGGATATAACAAGTTTCAGGACAGCCCAGGCTAAATAGTGAGACCCTGTCTGAAAAAAAGATCATATTGGCTTTCTCGTTCCTATGATGCTGTGCTGCATTGTATTAACTTGTTTCTAGTTTGAAACTGTTCTTTTATTTTTGCTTGTTCTTAACACACACAAACATACATTCAGATACATTATTGGATTCCTTTTATTTATTGTCTCTTTTCAAGATAAGTTTTCCTGTAATTTTCTTTGCTCATAGTATCATTCACTTGATTTGGGATGCAAATTATGATAACCTCATGTAGTAAATTGGAGAATGTCTCTATTTTTATATTCTGTGAGACAGTTTTAAAGAGTAAATTCACAGCTGGGCATGGTGGTGCCTGCCCTTAATCCCACCACTCAGGGAGGCAGAGGCAGGCAGATCGCTGTGAGTTCGAGGCCAGCTTGGTCTACAAAGCATCCAGTACAGCCAAGGCTAAGAATAAATTGACCTATTTTTTCTGTGAGAGCTTTTCTATGTTATGGTTGCAGTATTGTCTACCAGCCTGTGTAGGTTTTATCTAATAGTAAAAAGTATTTTGTTGTAGTTCTTCTCTTTTCCTTGCATCAGAGGTGTGCATGTGTTTTGAGAAAGTGTTGATTGCTTTCAAGATTTCAAATTTATTGACATGTTTTTTTCTCATATTTCTTTACAAGTGTCTGTGTCTGTTTCTTTTTACAGTCTTTAATATTGCTAGGCATGATGTGTAGACATCATGCCAGCAATCAAGAAGTGTAGGCCGGAGGATCAAGGGGGTTCATAGTAAATTTGAGGCCAGCTTGAAGTCTATGAGACCTTGTTACAAAACCGCAGAAATGACGGATTTGGAGAGATGGCTCAGTCAGTAAAGGACTTGCTGCTCAAGCATGAGGGACTGAGTTTTGAATCCTAGCTCCCAATTTAAAAGATGGGCACAGTGGTGAACCTCTGTAATTCCAACACAGGAGAGAGAGGCAGGGACACTTAGATCCCTGGAGCGTGCTGGCCAGCCAGCATAGCTGCTGAGTACCAGATTCTGTCTCAAAAACTAAGATGGAGAGCAGCTGAGGAAGCTTCCTGACATCAGCCTTTCCCCAACACATGTACATGCTTATATGTAACGTGTACACACATATACCACACACACACACAATTGCTTTTGTTTTCTTGAGCTTGCACCATGAAATTTTCTTTTTTTTATCCCAGTGGACTAGCTTTTGGCTTTGTTAATTTTCCCAACCACTTTATGCTTTTTCATTGACCTTTCTTTGTTTTTGATTTTTGTTTTTATTTATTTATTTGTTTTGAGACAGGATTTCTCTGTGTATCCTTGGCTGCTCTGGATTCACTTTGTAGATCTGACTGGCCAAGAACTCACAGATCTACCTGCCTCTGCCTCCTTGAGTGCTGTGATTACAGGTGTGAGCCATTGTGCTGGGCTATACCCTATCTTTACAACCAGAGTCCAATATGATTGAGGCTTTAACCTCTTGAGTTGTTCTGTTTCCATTTCGTTTTGATTCCTGGAAATATTTGTCTCGTTTTCACACTTAATGTCTCTCTTTCTCTCTCTCTTTACATGTCTGTGTTTTGAACTGAGGAGACACGTTAAGACATGGTTTGGTTAACAATGCCATCTGGAAGTCTAGAATTATCTCTGAATGTTCTCTTCTTTATCTTTGTTCCAGTGCTGGATTAGACCTAGAGCCTCACATACATTATGCAAGTGCTGTACCTAGCCCAGGTGTCTTTTAATTTGTTTTTGAGACAAGGTCTAGCCATATAGTCCAGGTTAGCCTCAAATTTGAAACAATCCACGCTAAGAGTGTAGGTCTGTGTCACTACAGTGGCTCCTCATCTCCTTGTGAAAACCTCTGATGGAGCCTGGCACCAAAGGCTAGGATTACAGTCACGCGCCAGACCCAGCTATGCCAGAGTATGACGTCAGTTGTTCCTAGACTTTATTCAGCTCCTACTGGTGACAGTTTTTTAAACCATCAATCTTTTTTGTTTTGTTTTTCAAGGCAAGGTTTCTCTGTGTAGCCCTGGCTGGCCTGGATGGTTTGTAGACCAAGCTGGCCTTAAGCTCAGAGGTCCACCTGCCTCTGCCTCCCAAATGCTGGGATTAAAGGTGTGCACCACTGACAACATTGATCTTTTATTGAAACATAAAAGAGTGGCTCAGACTGGCTTCAAATTTTCTGTGTAGCTGACATATCACAGAACTCTTGATCCTCCTACTTCTCCTTTCAGGTGCTGGGGATGTAGTTATGTGCACCATGACTGGCTAAAAAGAGTTAATCTTATAATCAGTAGAATCGCTTCAATGAGACAAACTTCTCTGATTCATCTTATAGATAAAATGTTTTTCGGTTCCTTAAATGCTGTTTATTTAGTCAGGGTTTTTTTTTTTTTTTTTTTTTTTTTTGCAAATTTTTTTATAGCAAGTTCTGGAAAAGGTCAGTTCCAGTTTATAAATGGTGCTATGCTCTGATCTGAATCTGTGTGGGTTTTTCTTGGTTTTGTTTTTTTATTCCTTCTTTCTTTCTTTCTCTTTCTTTCTTTCTTTCTTTCTTTCTTTCTTTCTGTCTTTCTTTCT